CTGTCATATAAACCAGAACAAGGAGGTTCCTTCCCTGAAGGGCAATAATAAACTAGATGATCACATAATCACATTAAATGGCGACGGAAGTCAATGAGCCGAAAGGTCTACTTCTGTTGCTACGTCTTTTAGGTCTTGTGGAACCTGCAATCGGCCCCTTTATATCACAACTGCAGAAACTCCCTAATATTGACTGGTTTAGCAATCGCGTAACACTGCAATTTTGTAGATGCAGCGGAAAACTCCATGTCATTAGTGTCCGCTCCTTGTGACAAATCCCAGTTCAGTTGCAAGATTTCCCTACGGAATCTTCCTCATTCCTGTAACAACACAAAATGTAATATTGCGGGTGTTGCCATTGCATAACTGGTCAGCAAGGAGATTCTAATTTTCGAACACAAGATGTGAAATCAGTGCAGCCCTTTGAAATTTTCTGTATTCCCAACGGCTTTGATCAAGAGTGAAAAGGATCAATTTGAAAGCGGCAAAATGAAAAGATTAAAAATGAGCAACTAATACAGACAAACGAAGCTTTTTTAGTGGGAACGCAAACAACAGATGTAACATTGAAAAAAAAAATCATGTTCAGAAATGAAGGGGAAAAGGGGTGATAAAGAATAAGACCCAGCAAACCTACTGTTAGTGCGGCGGATCCTGGAAGTTGTAGTTTAAATCTGCAGGGGTGGCGACGATTGGACATTGTCGGCCGCTAGGGGCGAACTACAACACCCAGCAGGCATTGCGGCACAGCATTACATCATCCCTGCAGTGGCGCGTGACACAGCTGGTCGCTCAGTCTCAGTCAGTCTCGGTGTTGTTGCTGCTGGTCGTGTAGATCACAGCGACTCCTCACCATGTCTGAAAGTGGTGGTGGTGGTGGCGGCGGCGGCGGCGGCGAGGACGGCACGACCGGCCTGGAAGTGACAGTGCAGAATGTGGCCGATGTATCGCTTTTGCAGAAACACATTCGCAAACTGGTACCGCTGTTACTGGAAGATGGCGGCGAGGCGCCGGCCGCCTTGGAGACCGCCTTCGAAGAGAAGAGTGCGGTGGAGCAGATGAAAAAATTCCTCTCCGATCCCCAGATGCACACGGTGCTCGTCGAGAGGACCACCCTGAAAGGTGAGGTTTGATGATGGGCCGCTGAGGCAACCGGGATTCTGGTGCTCGGTGATCAGCCAAAGTCGGCCACACCCATTGGGAGAAAAGCCCTTTTCTCCCTGCCCCAACACTGAATGCTGGCTGTGTCCATGGAGGGCCCGCTGGGAAACTGGCAGCACCAGCCTAAAACAAAACTGGGACGGGGGAGGCTCTGGAGCTGACAAAAAAGTGCTGTCTATAGACGACCCACGCCTCATGACATATCCCGGTTCAACTGCAAGATTTCCCTTGGGGGTTTTTCCTTATTCCTGCGGCAGTGCAAAGATTAAACACTGCGGTTGCTATCAGACCGAAAGTAAAAACAGATGATGTTTGGAAGCATTTATAACAAATAGATCAGGCAGTATCTGTACAGTGGGGGGGGGAAAAGTGTTATCGTTTCAAGTCCCTCTGATATTTCAAGTTCTGGATAACGGCTGTATTTGAAAATTGCTTTTCATTTGAGCGATGTATGATCGTTCTTCTCTCTCACTCTCCCAATATTTTATAATTTTGAGGATACTGGATTGAATTTGTCTAAATGCAGTTAAAATATTATTGATTACCTTGCGGATGTGGTCCTGATTTGAGGAGGAGTGTTGTGATTTGATAGTCATAGATGTATGCTCACGTTTGACTTGATTAAGAACTGAATCAGTGTATAAATAAACGTTTTTCCATTACAAATTGCAAAATGGATCAATGTGTGATTAAAATATTCACACCATTTTCTCAATTTTCAGTTATTGATGTTAGCTTTATGTGGATCAAAGCTGTTAAGTTTCATTATGTGCACTTGTAATCTCCCCTTCCTATTATGTACAGGCTTGTTCAATAGCTACATCATCTCAGTCTTAGAAATCTTAACCTTAAAATATCAGAAGGTCACTGTTTAGATTTGCAACAAAATGGTGGGCAGCTGGTATGAAATAGGGCCATTACATTTCGTAGAAATGGTAAATTGTTTTCATGCGGCAGTATTGTCTGGGGGTATTTATGTATCATAGTTCAGGATGAAATGCTGAATTTGTTTCTTCTTTCTGCAGATGTGGTGTGGAGTGTGTTAGAATAACATCTTTACTTTTTAAAGAACTTATGATCTATGAAGGCTTTAAACATTTCAATTAAAATGCCAGCATTGTTTCAGTCAGAATTCATCTGTCTTGCAGTGTTCTTGAATTGGCTCAACTTTGTCTTCAACTGTCATTTAAAACATAAACATCCAATCCATAGATAAGCAATAAATTCTGTGATTGCATGTGGTATTGTGTTTTCTTGCTTTCACATCTAAATTTTCTTTAGACATGTATAGCAAGGAATTTAATCTTAAGATTAATGTAAACTTTAGCTTGTTTGGGCCAGAGTGGAGTCCCATTTTCTTTGGAATTTTTAGTCTGTAGAAAGAAATGGTGTTTGTAAAATTTTCAGCTTTTTCTGTCTTGCGGATTATAATATAGATGTTTCCGGTTGAATGTTCATTATTCTCATTTTGTCCCTTTTTCCTCTTATTTTGGTTGAAGAGACGTTCTTTTGGGTGTGTCAGTGCGGGCCTTTGGCTGCCCGTCAGGTGGAATGTGAAAGCAGCTTTGGTGAGGTTGTCTCTAGAACCATCCAACCAGTCCTTGAGACCTCTAAATAATATATATGCTTATTGCTTTTAATAAATTGGAGGGGAAAAAAGCAAGGAATGATGAAATAACTCTGATATTTTACTTTTACGTGATTAAATTGTTTTAGGAGCTACATGTTAAATTGCTTGATTATTTATCCCATCAAAACTATTATGTTTTATGCACTGTAACAATTGTTTACTTAACAGAGGATGTTGGAGATGAAGGGGAAGAGGAGAAAGAGCACATAGCTTACAACATCAACACTGACATACATTATGGACTGAAATCTAACAGGTACTAAGCTTCGGATTTATAAATACATGTGGATTAGTCTCATTTGACCAACACTGCAGTTCAATATTGAAATATTTTTGATTTGGCCTACTGCATTTGGTTTGAATAAAATACAGTACATTCATTTCTGTGTATTTAGTAACATTTGCATTTTGGTGTAAAGTGTACTATGAAGTGCTCTGGTGCATTACAATTAATTATAAAATTGTTATCGCTGCACTTGCAAACTAATTTTAAATTAGATTAATATGCTTTTAGGAAAACAAACATCTTGTGTATATTTGTTTTAAGTTTGAATATATATCTTTGTACATTAATCTAGTAATTTTTGTTTCCTTTTTGAAATGCTTGTGTTTCTAGTTTGGCCTTTATAAAGCGTACTCCAGTTATTGACGCGGATAAACCAATTTCATCTCAGCTGCGTGTTATAACACTTAGTGAAGATTCTCCATATGAAACACTGCATTCAATTATTAGCAATGCAGTGGCTCCATTCTTCAAGTCATACATTCGAGAGTCTGGCAAGGCTGACAGGTATTTGTTTTTGTGCATTTATATTACTTTAAAATTTTATAAGTACGTCTTAAGTCTAGCAAATATAAATGTATATTGTCTCTTTAGAATGTCACAGATACTGCTTTAATCTGCAGATGATTTTCTAGCTGTAATTCAAGAGTTAACTCTAATCTAACTCCTGGTTTTAGTGAACTGTCATAGATAGAAAACTGGTTGGCAGACAGGAACAAAGTAGGAATTAATGGCTGTTCTTCCCAATAGCAAGTTGTGACTAGCAGGATACAGCAGCAATCAGATCTTGGACACCAGCTATCCACAATATATTAATGATTTAGACGAGGGGAGCTAAACGTAATACTTCCAAGTTTGCAGATGAAACAAAGTTAGGTAGGAGGGTGAGCTTTGAGGGGGTTGCAGAGATGCTTCAATTAGTTTGGACATTTTCAGCTGGCAAACACATGGCACATGAAGTACAATATTGATAAATGAGAGGTTATCCACTATGCTGCCAAAAATAGGAAGGCAGATCGACTGAATAGTTATAAGATCGGGATGTTCTTTTACACCATTTGCTGAATGTAAGCATGCAGGCACTGTATGTGGTGAAGAAGGCAAATGGCAATTAGGCCTTCATGGAGGATTCAAATGCAGGAACAGAGATGTTTTACTGCAGTTGTACAAGGCGTTGGTGAGACCACACCTGGAAAATTTGTGTGCAGTTTGGTCTCCTTATCTGAGGAAATATGTTCTGGCTGCAGAGGGAGTACAACGAAAGTTTACCAGGCTGAAAGCTGGATGGCAAGACTGATGTACAAAAAGAGACCAGATTGTTTAGGATGAGATTCACTGGAGTTTAGAAGAATGAGGGGCGTGGAGAGTGGAATCTAATTAACTTTTAAGATTCTAACAGGATTAAAAACAGGAAGGATGTTCCTGATACCTGACGAGTCCAGAACCGGGGTTCACAGTCTAAAGATAGAGTGCCCATTTAGGTCTGATGCGAAATGTCCTCACCACGAGAATGGTGGACCTGTGGAGTTCTCTGCCACAGAAACTGGTTGATGTTAAAACATTTGAATGTTTAAGGGGTTAGATATTGTTCCTAGGGCTAAAGAGATCAGAGGGTATATGGAGAAAGTGGGATCAGGGTATTGAGTTAGATGTTGAGGTGTAATCATATTGAATGGTGGAGCAGGCTTGAAGTGCCAAATGGCTCATAACTTCTGTTTCTAATCTTTCAGTTTTAAAGTTATTGCATGAAAACCATAAGGAGCATCAAGATATCTACCAACAAATGCTATTAGCAAGTTTGACCACCACTCAATTATAAAAGCGCCCTTTAAGTAACACAAGTTGCAGCAAAGTCTGTTCAATCTTAGTTTCTTAAAGCCTCAGACCAAATTAAGAAAAAGGTCATGGATCATTGGCTTTGGTGCTTTGTCTATTAACTGGATGTCAAAAGGGCGAATATTATATGCTTAAACAGTGTTCTCAACGTTTCCATTAACTTATTCTCTACCAGAGATGGAGACAAAATGGCACCATCTGTTGAGAAGAAGATTGCAGAGCTGGAAATGGGACTCCTACATCTGCAGCAGAATATTGAAATCCCAGAGATCAGCCTTCCAATCCATCCAGTCATAACCAATTTAGCCAAACAGTGTTATGAACGTGGGGAGAAACCTAAAGTCACTGATTTTGGTGATAAAGTGGAGGATCCAACCTTTCTCAATCAACTGCAGTCTGGTGTAAACCGTTGGATTAGAGAAATCCAAAAGGTAAAAGTTAATCAGTATTTACAACATTGTACTTTACAGATTTAGGACAATTTGAAATACATTAAATGTGCAAATCTTTAGCTGTTATTATGTTGGTGATGGACCACAAAGTTAAACTTCTTTAAAACTTTTGAGCTTAAGTGAAATTTGACTTCTCCAAACTTTTAAAAATCTTGAGCAGCCTGCAGCTTGTTGGTTTCTTGCGCCGCGGTTCTGCAGTCTTTTTTGGACTTAAGTATGTAAGACTCTGCTGCTTAAGTAAAACAAAGTTTCAGATAACATGGTGATCCAGATTTAGTAATCCAGTTAATAAATTATCTTGTTTCAAATTCCAAGATGTATAGTATAGGCTATGTAAGCAAATTCAATCTATTATGATTTGGTCTGCTATGTTCAACTAAACTTTAATGAGCATCGTTTCCTAGGCTATGAGCACTGTTTCCTAGGCTATAAGATGTTGTTGAATTCAGAGGCTGGGTTTGTGTTGATTTCAGCAAGATAATTTCTATTCAACTGTGAGTATTGTTTGTGCTGTTCAGGTTGACAGCTTTGGTTCATATTTGGGTATAGTCCTTGGCCTTGGCCTTGACCAAGAAAGATATCTGGTGAAGCCCTAAAACGTAATTCAAATCAATTAATCTTAATTTATTTATAATGCTGGGAAATTAACACTTTTTTAGCGATCAAGCATTGTAAATACTCATTTCAAAATTATATATCGAGACTTTGTTTAAAACAAAATGTTTCTTGGTCCTTTTTGTATATTTTGGCATGAATGTTTCCATTCTGCTAGAGCAGAATTAGTGCTAGAGGTTGGAATGTTTTATTTTCCCCCAGTGTGGTGTCAGGATTGACTATCCATGTTGAATTGCAACATAGACAAAGCTTTGTTTTGTATCTGTGTCTCTGAAAATGGCTCTCTTGCTAGGCTGTCTTAAGTTTTCTCCCAATTTTCCAATATCTGCATTGTTTCCTCTAAAGAGGATTACAAGTTATGTGGTGCCGTATACAGTGACAAATAAATTGGAACTCCCGAAATTCTTTTTTTCTCCCTCCCTCTTCCTCTGCATCCCACCCCGATGTCCCTCCCCCAAAAACAGCAGAGTTTTTAGGTAGGGATAACAAGGTATAGAGCTGGATGAACACAACAGGCCAGGCAGCATCAGAGGAGCAGGAAAGCTGACGTTTCGGGTCTGGACCCTTCTTCGGAAATGAATTTCCTGCTCCTCTGATGCCTGGCCTGCTGTGTTCATCCAGCTCTCGACACGTTGTGTCAGACTCCAGCATCGGCAGTTCCTACTATCTCCGAGAGAGTTTAGATAGGTTTTCATTCTTCTAAGCTACAAGCAGTGAAAAAGCAGTGTTAACTCACTGCCATCTAGTGGACAAATTGTTTTATAACTATTTCTGATCTCATAATGCCATATGATAGATACCAGCTATTACTTTGAGACCCTTGTTTTTCTGTGTGCTCATGTAAATTGGATTTTCAGAGTTTCTTTCTAGTGTCATCATTCAGGAGTCTTTAGCATTCAGTGTTGTTCTTTCCTGTCCCAGCCCATTCTCCCTTTTAACCTGTCTTTCCTGCCACTCCAGAAAATGACAGTGAATGGACTTTTACTTTTTTTTCCCCATAAAATGACTTTCAATGTTTGAGAACGATCGATTACCTTGCTTCCATTGGAACAAGATGTAAAAGGTCCATAAAGAAACCCTTTATGGAGTAGAGTCTAGAGTAAAATATAGGCAATGTCTTGCTTTATTTCTAACCACTGCAACTCCAACCTCTGCATCTTCCAGTCTCTTCACTGGGTGAGATTTGCCTATATTAGACAGTGAATGCTGATAGAGCTGTGTCCTATCAAACACCGCTTCCTTCTTACACATTTTGATACTACCAGAAGCATGATTGATCTTTCTATTTGCTCATCTCCAACCACCTAGATTCCAGTAGTGCCAAATCCTATCAATGGTTTTGATAAAATCATCTCTCTTGTTGACTTAAATGAATACATCTGCAGATGGCACAAGAATAGGTGAGACGGCAAACTGTGAAAAAGACAGCAAAGGGATATAGATTGATTAATTGAGGGGACTTGAGTGGATATTGAAAGGATGTCTTTCCCCTCGGGGAGGGGCTAGAATTGGGGACGCAGTTTTAAAAAGAGGTGTCTTCCATTTAAGGTGGAGCTCAAGTGATTTTTATCTTTGTGTCATTAGTCTGTGGAATCCTCTTACACAGAAAAATGGGAGAAGGGCCATTGAATATTTTTAAGGCTGACTTAGATTCCTGATTGAGGGAGCCAAAGAGTGTACAGGGTAGTCATGAAAGTAGAAGTGAGGACACAACTGGATCAACGATGATTTTATCAAGTGGTGAAGCAAGCTCAAGGGCCTGAAGGCCTATTCAAATTCTTTTTGTTCACATGAAACAGAAAACTATAGAAACTTGTTCGTATTTATACCAAATGTCTCGAAGGACAAGTTGACTCCAGTACCTTGCTTAAATAACACACTCCTGTAAGGCTGTCACTCAAGTAAAAGTCAATACCATGATTTTTGGCCTGGGGAAGAAATGTAGCTTTTCATATACCTCTGGTATTGAAAACCAAAAATTTCATGACCAAAAGCATAATGTCAACAATCATATTTTTTTAAAAAAATCAATTTAGTCTTCATCTAAGAAGTTAATAAAAATGCAATTTCTCCCACTTCTACCTATGAATTAAGAGGAAAAACAGATTTATTTTGGAGAGAGAAATTGACAAATTGGAGAAGAGAAGTGCCCATGAAAACAGGTTGCGGAGGCCAATGTTGAGAGTGAACATTAAAGAAAATTGTTGCCTTCACTTTTCACCCTCTTCTTTTCTGGGGAGGACAGGCTAGGGTCTTGTCAATTAGGCCCTTGCGAGTGCAGCCTCAGTGCAACGCTCCCGTGCCTAATTCAAATGTTCAGAGCCATCAGCATATCTCTTCAGTGGCATGGTGCTTAACTTACCTTCCCTGATTCCTAAGCAGCAGGCTGATGCTGGTTCCTCAGCTTCAGATTCAGCTATTCCTGTCATTTGTCTAAAAACATACTCTAATTGCAGGACTAACATTTATTTAATGCTGGAGTGGCAAACTTTTTTTCTCTATGCTTCACTCAGTGTTTAAAATTAAGTGCGACAGCACTTAACTGCATTGAACTAAACAGGTGACAATGCCACTGAAGACCTTCCTGTCTTTTTTATTGGTCAATTCCCCCACGTTAAAGAAATTTTACTGATATCTATAGGTAAAGTAACCCATTCTGAAAACTGTTTTGTTAAATTTCTATATGTAGGTAACCAAGCTTGACCGTGATCCTGCTTCAGGGACTGCTCTACAAGAAATCAGCTTCTGGTTGAATCTGGAGAGAGCCTTGTATCGCATTCAAGAGAAACGAGAAAGTGGAGAAGTGCTCCTGACTTTGGAAATTCTGAAACATGGCAAACGTTTTCATGCCACTGTTAGCTTTGACACTGATACTGGTATGAAATTGTTGTTTTCTCTATCTTTAACTGATCAGTTTGTGTTTAAAGGGATAGAAAGGTGAAATGGCTATCTAAATATTAAACTTAGGTAAGACTGGCTTCAATGGGATGCAATACATTGTCTGTATTAAGTACAGAAAATATATTAATAGACAGGTCCACAGAAGATGAGTAAGTTTGAGTTTAGCTCTTTATTGAGCGGGATACACAGAGCCATTGTGTACACCAAAAGGCCGTAGAGTTCTGCTTGGCAAAAGGTACAGTATGGCACAAAACAAAGTAAAATCTAAAAAATGCAAAAGAAGAGTACAAGTCCTGGCAAGTGGAAAAGATGTAAATAGTGTCAAGCAGTTGGTGAGGGTTATGAAAAGGAAATATGAAAATAAACTTGCAAGGAATGTTAAAGTCAACCTTTGTTTTGCTTTTGAGAAATGGTGTCAATGATGTGATTGAAAATAAAGTGACCATGCTGAACAAGCACTTTGCATTAGTATTTACAGCAGAGGTAGAGGACGCAACATGCCAGACATCCTAAAGAACTCATTATTGAATCAAGGACTTAACAAAATCAATGTACGCAGGGTAGCAGTTTTAGGGAAATCAAAGGCATTGAAGAGCAGCAAATATCTTGCGCTTAATGGTTAGCACTGCCTCACAGCGCCAGGGATCCCAGTTCAATTCCACCCTCTGGTGACTGTCGGTGTGGAGTTTGCATGTTTTCCCAATGTCTGCATGGGTTTTCTCCAGTTACCTCCCACAGTCCAAAGATGTGCAGGTTAGGTGGATTGACTGCAAATTTGCCCATAGTATTCAGGGATGTGCAGCCTTGCTGGGTTAGTCATGGGAAATGCAGGGTTATAGGGTCAAGGTGGTACTCTTTTTGGATGGTTGGTGTGCAGTTGATGGGCCAAATGACCTGCTTCCACACTGCAGAGATTCTATGATTTAGTTTTAAAAAGTAGTGAGGACGTTGCAGTGCCATTACTAATCTACTGAAGTTCTCTCAATTTTGGAAATGTTTTTCTAGATTAGAAACTTCCACATCACAGATGTGGCTGCAAGGGGAATGGGGCTGGGAACTAAATATCCAAGGATATGCATCCTATTGAAAGGATGGGTGGAGTGCATGGTGTTTTGTTCGTAAGAAATTAAATCAATAGGAAGAAGTGATAGAGTAGAAGGGATTAGCATCTGTGTGGATAGAGTTGAGGAGCCACAAAGGGGGGGAAAAAATCCCTGATAGGAGTTACGTACAGGTGTTCAGGAAGAATGTGTGGCAGAAAATAAATCGGGAGATAGAAATAGCATTTGAAAAAGACACTATTACAATCATTATGGAGGATTTCAACATACAGATGGACTGGGAAAATCAGGTTGATAGTGGCTCACGAGAAAAGGAATTTATGGATGTTATTTTTGGAGCAGCTTTTGGTACAGCCCACTAGGGAACAGGCATTTCTGGATTTGATGTATAATGGGGCAAACATGATTAGGAAGTTTTAAGGTGAAGGAACCCTGGGGAGGGGAGGGCGTGTAGGGGGTGAAAGACCATAATATGATAGAATTTGCCCTGCAGTTGACGGGGGGGGTGGATGTGGAGAGTCTAACAGGGAAGATAGTGGAGCGGTGATGGCAGGGATTTCGGGGGGTAATTTGGAAAGCCCAGCAGAAATTCTTCCCAAGGAAGAAGAACCATACGAAATGCAGGGCAATGCAACCATGGGTGACCGGGAAAGTTGGAGATCGCATAAAAGCATACAATGTAGTGAAAATTGGTGACAAACCTTTTTTTAAAAAAAAAAGCAATGTGGTGGGGGAGGATGAAATGAGTGTAAACCAGCTAGTAATATAAAATACTGCAAAAGTTTTTTGTTTTAGATACATAAAAGGTAAGCAGAGCAAGAGTGGATGTTGGACTCCTGAAAAATGAGGCTGGAGAAGTAGTAATGGGAACAAAAATGGTAGAGCGACCAAATAAGTACTTTTCATCAGTCTTCACAGTGGAAGACACCAGCAGCAGACCAGAAGTTTGAGATAGTTGGGTCCAGCAGTGAGTGTGATGGTTGTCACAAAGGAAAAGGTGCTGGAGAAGCTGAGAGGTCTGGAGATAGATAAATCACCTGGACCAGATGGACTACATCCCAGAGTTCTGAAGGGAATAGCTGAGGAGACTGGAAGAATTGATTATCTTTCAGGAATCACTGGACTCTGAGGGTCCCAGAGGACTGGAAAACCATTAATGTAACATCCCTGCTCACAGGAAAGGAGGAAGGCAGGAAGTTATAGGCCAGTTAGCCTGACTCCAGTTGAATTTTGAAATCCATTGTTAAGGACCTGATTGCAGGTTACTTGGAAGTGCGTGGTAAAATAGGGCTGAGTCAGCATGGCTTCATCAAGGGGACGTCTTCTGAGGAATTCTGAGGTGGTGATGAGCAAGTTAGACAAAGGAGAGCCAGTGGAAGTGATCTATTTTGATTTCCAGAAGGCTTTTGACAAGATGCTGCACAGGAGGCAGTGACATAAGACAAGAGCCTGTGATGTTGGGGGCAGGGTACTGACATGGAGAGAAGATTGGCTCACTGGCAGAGGCGGGGATAAAGGGGCCGTTTACAGGGTGACAGCCCGTGACGAGTGGAGTTTTGTAGAAGTCAGTTTTGAAACTAGAACTATTCATATTATACATTAACAATCTGGACAAAGGAGCGGAGGGCATTGTTGCTAAGTTGATAACCACAAAGATAGTTGGAGGGACAGGTATTATTGAGAAACAGGGGAGGCTACAGAAGGACTTGGACAGGCCAGGAGACTGGGCAAAGAAGTGGCAGATGGAATATAATGTGGGAGAGTGTGAGGTTATGCTCCTTAGACAGAAGAAAAGCGGTGTAAATGTCTTTTTTTAATGGGAAAGGCTTCAGAAATCTGAACACAAGGGGCCTTTAGAAGTCGTAGTTTGGATTCTCTTAAAAGTTAATATGCAGATTCGGTTGGTAGTTAGGAAGGCAAACGCAATGTTAGCTTTCACTTCGAGGGTTTGAGCACTAGAATAGGGACGTACTGCTGAGGCTCTGGTCAGTCCATATTCGGAATATTGTGAGCAGTTTTGGGTTGCGTGTCTGAGGAGGGATAGTGTATTTAAGAAAGACCCTTGATTAATAAGGGGATCAAGGGTTACAGGAGAAGGCAGGAGAGTGGTGTTGAGAAACACGTCAACCTTGATCAAATGATGGAGCAGACTCGATCTACCAAATTTTGCATATTTTACATCTTATGCCATCCTTCCTTAAGAAAGGAAAGAGAAGAAAGCCAAGGAGTCATAGACTAGTGAGCCGAATATCCGTTTTAAAAGTTGCTAGAGCTTGTAATTTAGGATGGCTAAACATCTTAAATTTTCAGTTGTTCAGCATGAATTGACGTGTTAGTTGGGATATTGAGCAGGCAGATTCTCCAATTTAGAACCAGACCATATAGGAGTGAAATTAGGAATCACTTCATGCAAGTGTGGTAGAAATTTGGGGTTCTCTCAAAAAAACACTACTTATACTGGATCACTTGTTAATTTTAAAAATGGAGTTTGTAAAATTTGTATTAACCAAAACTGTTAAAGGATATGGAGTAAAGATAATTATGGGGGCCAGTTGCAGATCAGCCAAGATTTTTTCAGTGTGATATATTTTGCTTAGTGGCCTACTTCTGTTCCCATGCTTCTGGAAACATTTTAAAGGAGAACCTGAAGAGGCATTACAGTAACTTTTCAGGTTTTTTACTACTTATTTTTTGATATTGTTTTCATAAGATGTA